CGTGGTTAAAAGCTTGAACTAATTTTCTCATCTCCCGCTCTGCGCCCACGAAATTGGTCCCATTGCCCGATATAACATATACGGGCGTCCCCCTCCTCGATACCATTCGCGTAAAGGCATTGATGAAGGAAGCCGTGTCTAATGAGTATGACATCTCAAGGTGAACAGCCCTTGTCGCTAGACAAGTAAATAGGCATAGGTATCTCCTTGCTTTGGCTTTGCCTCGTCCTTGCTTCGTTAGAAATGGGCCTCCATAATCCACTCCGACTCTTTCGAAAGCTCGTAACGATTGAAGTCGCGGTCTAGGCAGCGGTGCCATCTTCTGCTCTGCTGTTTTTACAGAAAAACGTCGTCGACATTGCGCACATGACTCAACGATATTCCTTACCGCGCGTCTTCCTTTTACGATCCGAAAACGACTTCGTAGTAGTGTTAGAACCTGCTCAACTCCGGAACCATGTTCGAGTTCTTCATGTGCATCCTTGATGATGAGTCGGGTCACCACGTGTTCCTTTGGCAATCAAATGGGGTGTCTTGTGTTGTAGGATAGTTCATTCGCAAGTCTTAAACGTCCGTCCATCCTCAGAAGACCATCGTCACCGTTCTTTGGACTAAGTCGCAGTAAACATCCTTCTCGCTCTCCTTTCGGGAAAGCTTCTCCTTGCGCTTGTTTGATCCACCACTTTTCCACATTAAGTATTTCAGTTGAACAAAGCGTTCTGTCTCGTTTTCGTAATTCCCTTGGAAGTCTGCAGTTTGTAACGAATCGTTGAACCCATCCAGTCACACGACAAAGGCGACGGAAGGTAGAAAAATGGTTTGGATCAACGCCCAGGTTAACGCGCGCCTGGACCATGTACGTCTGTGCCACTGTCTTTTCAATATCTTCAACTTTCGTCTCCTCTCTAACGGAAGGCGCTGATGGCCCCGAGATCTCGACATCTTTCAAGAACGATGGTCCTTCCAACCAAAATGTGCTTTTGGCTAGTTCCATAGCAGATTGACCTCGGGTCGCTAGATCTGCTGGATTCTGTATCCCAGGTACATGCCTCCATTGCTCGAGACTCGTCGTCCGTTGAATTTCTGCGATACGGTTGGCTACGAAGGGTTTAAACTGCCGGCTGTGGTTTCGTACCCAATACCACACATTCTCGGAGTCAGTCCAAAAGATCACTCGATCGACAGTCAGGACTTTCAGAAGACTTTGAGCTAAACGGCTTGAGAGAATGGCACCCATAAGCTCCAGTCTGGGAATCGTCATCGCTTTGGTGGGGGCTACACGGCACTTTGATGCGACAAGGCGTGATGTAGGGCTATCGTCTTCATATTGGCACACCAAATAAGCGACTGATGCGCAGGCGTCTTTAGAGGCATCCGAGAACAGGTGTAGTTCCATTTTATTCGAGTTTGCGAGGCGTAAGCAGCGTGGTATGGCGACATGCGATAACTGCGAAAGTTCTGTAGCCCAGTTCTTCCACTTAGTTGCTAGATCACTTGGAAGGTTGTCATCCCAATCCAACCCTGCTCTCCAAATCTCCTGCATGAGAATTTTAGCCCGAACAAGGAATTAACAACAAAATAATCATATAGTTGACCATATAGAACTTTTTCAAAAACTTTACTTACTATAGGCAGAATGGAAATTGGGCGATAGTTATTCAGCATGTTTCGAGGGTCATTTTTGTGTAAAGGGATAACTCTCGCTAGTTTCCACTCTGAAGGAACAGTTTCACTATAGATTGCCGTATTGCCTGTAACAATCTATTTTGCCTCTCACAATACCTTTGTACTCACACATTTGTTTACACATAGTAACATGGATACTTACAGGGGATTTTTATACCATTTTAATAATTTACAATTATATCACAGCCCCTTTTCCCTTTACATTTAAACATTATGTGGAATAGTGAATCACATTGATTCATTTCCACATTCATATTACCATTGTATGTTAACTGTTTTATTCCCTATAGCCTTTACCATTATACATTTTAAACAAATAGTCATCTTTTTTCACACAATTTCACACCATTTTATTCAGTTGTCCCATATAAAACCAACCCTAAACCCACACCCAACCCTGAACCCACTCCCAATCCCACCACAGACCCTGCCACCAACCCTGCCTCTTACCAAGACCCTAACCCAACCCCAATCCCTGATATGACCGAAATTGATGAGGAAGGCACTTTTGGCCGGCGACAACTCTGACAACCTTGACGAAAACTTCAACATGAACGACAGTCTAGAAATAGACGAACTTTGTCTGTACGACATGGAGGACCAAGCAACAAATGAACATGAACAAAACACCGGATCACCAGACACTGACAAACAACATTTAAACGAACCTAGCATTGAACAAAACATTACTGAACAGACTATGGACAGACCCAACACTGACGAGGTTGACATGGACATAACTGAAGAGGCAAATAACAATGACGCCAACTCACACCAAAACAGTTCTACTAACCAACACCCATCTCACAACAAGGACAACATGCACAACGATACAGATAACAGTATTGACTTTATCGACATACCAAAATACTTACTAACATCTTTTAAAATCATTTATGGACTTAAAATACGACACAACAAACTACTTACAAACCTGGAAAACTTACAAGAACACAGGAGAGCAAATACATTACCTCCAGGCCTGACGATACACCACAAGAGCAAATACTATATGGACAAAACGTTTAAAGACCGCTGGGAGAATATCCTCACGAATGCCTCCCTCGGGCTATTAGACACAACCATTGACTACCATAAACACTGCATACAAGACACACAATACAAGCTACAACACCGCACAAACGAACTGAAAAAGAGATGTGATGACGACACAGCACAAAAACTCATTAATACAACAGACACACTATACATGAAATACACAGAACGGTCCTTACTTGCACTCAACAAAACCACCAAATGACTCAAACGATTAGAAAACACATCCACAAAAAAAAGCACAAACAACAAACAATAGACCTCAAGTCAAACATACTAAAGCTAAAAGCAAGAACATGAAAGCACAAATCAATAAACCAACACAATCAAGTAAACCACAAATAAACGATGTAAAACAACCACAGAAAACAGGACTCAACTATACACACACAAACCATCCAACAAATACACCTAACACAATACAAATAATACACACAACTCATGCAAACACATCACACACACACCACAAACTCCCTTCAACAGCCACATACAAAACCATATACATGCACGGACACATAACCCTACTAACAGCCCTATGAAAACTAACACTACAACAACACCAAAAACATTGCAAACACAACACACATCAACACCACAACACTCATACAACTATAACAGACATAACAACAACAGAACTCTGTCATTTAGTTCATTTCAACCAACAAATACTCCCACAACACCACTCATGCAAAGTTGAAACAACCTACCGTACAACACAACCCACAATCACACATATCAATACAACCAATCCTCAAACACCAAAACTACGAATACCACCACGCTCACAAACAACCTACAATACACAACAACCAATGACCCATAAGACCAACAATGTGCAACAACATAACAGGACACCAACACTTACTAACACTCACAACTGGCAACACATCTTACTAAACAGACAAAACCCACAACATAGCACACAAACATTCCACACAACATAACCCAAAACGTAAAATCACAGATACACCATTTTCTGTTAAACCAAACACACAAACTTCAAAAATAATGCAATGCATGACCAAAAATAACACACCCTGCACACACATGAATACTAATAAATACTGGCCCAGAGATGCCTATCTAGCTGAGGCATATAGACAATTAAATGACTCGAATCATTATCAAAAACTCACATATGACCCAACCCTTGAGACATTAGCAGAAACTAAAAGACTTGCCAATAAACTCCACACATCAGACATAATTGACAACACAACACACAAATTTCTAACAATTGATAATCAAGCAAGAACACCACAGCTCTATCTTTTACCAAAAATTCACAAACAGGACAATCCAGGTAGACCAATAATTTCAGGCTGTGGAGGACCGACTGTCAAGCTCTCTCAATATGCTGACCACCTCCTCAAACCACTCCTGAAACATATACCATCATATGTACAAGACACAACAGAATTTCTCCGCAGAATTTTTTCCACTAAATCAGGACTTACCAGACAATATCATACTTATCACATTTGATGTTAAGAGTCTCTATACCAACATACCTAATGATCAGGGCATCCAAGCCTGTGTAGACATGTTGAATGAAAACAATATAATAACTCCCGAACTAAAACAATCAGTGATTGATATCTTATCCCTCATACTCAACAAAAACTCCTTTACATTTAACAATGAACATTTTCTACAAATTCATGGCACTGCTATGGGATCACCTGTGGCACCCACTTATGCCAACATATTCATGGCAATATTAGAACGGAAGCTTCTCAATGCAGCACCACAGGGTCTTATACCAATTGAATGGATAAGATTCATAGATGACATATTTGCAATTCGGACTCATGGCATTGAAAAACTACAGAAATTCCTATCATACATTAATAACTTCCATCCCACAATTAAATTTGACTACACATACTCATACAAATCAGTCAACTTCCTTGACACAACTGTTTACATTAATCCAAACAATAAACTCGAATCAGACCTATACATCAAACCAACTGACAGAACTCTACTACTACACCAAAACTCCTTCCACCCCCAAACATGCAAAAATTCTATTATCTACAGCCAAGCACTACAATATAGACGCGCGTATCATCACTGATAATACGAGACTACAGCAAAGACTGGACAACCTACTAATTGCACTCATTCACCGAGGCTACAAACATGACAACATTATCACATCTTTTAACAAAGTAATACTATACACACAGAATGAATTACTTTATAAAACAGAAAATGCAAACAAAACAACTAACAAACCAATATTCACAACTCAATACAATAGTAATACGAAATACATTGCACAAATACTACGTAAACACTGGAACGTCATTGAAAATTATCCTACATTGCAAATTCTATGGCCAGAACCTCCAATTGTAGCATATCAAAAGAACAAAAGCCTCAGGGACACATTGGTCTCAGCAAAACTACATTATTCACTTCAAGCAGATGAACAGCTAAACAAGGCAACATTACTAAACCATCTGGCACACATTTGAAGACTGGGAACCCATTTGGATGAACACTTTTAGAATTGTATATCTGACATTATAGCCATGGGCTAACTATTACAATATAAAGAAGAATGTTTCTAGATATTAACTCTCAAACACACATTATATATTTTTTGTGCCACGTCATGATTAATAATAATATTAATATCACCATCAACATATTGGTATATGGAAACCTTTGGGAAATTACTATATCAATCACTTTATATTTAGAATTCCCCATTGGTATACATTTAATATATACTTCCATTATTTATCAGTCCATTTACAACAACTACAAAAAATTATTTTGCTTTACATTTTCATTGATTAACCACTCACTTTTTTAATAGCAAAACCATCAGGCCAATACACCGATTCGAAAAAGAGCTGTCAAAGTCTGGAGGACTGTGGCGAGTTACACGAAAACGAGGCTAGTCAGGTTAATTTTTCGCGCGAAAACTTTGAAATTGTTTATATTTTTTAAATAACATGGCCTCATCAGGTTTTGATAACTTTGACGTAGAATTAACCGAAGAGGATATTCCCGGTGCTTCCTTAGCTGGAAGAATACCTTCTAAGCTAAAGATGGACGAGCTTCGTTTTTGGTTAAAATGTCGTGGTGATTCGTGCAAAGGCCTTAAAACGAAGGCACAATTCGTAAAACGGTAAGTTTAAAAAATTCTACATGTGTCAATATGGACTCGATTTTGCGCTGCGTTGATATTATGTTTTGGTTTTTCATTGAAGGGTTGACAAGTATGTAAAATCAGGCCGCGACAAGAGCATCGTTGACCCCGACGAAAACAAGATATTTTCGAAAAGAAAAGCGAGAAAACAAACTTCCCAAGAAATCGAACCGGAATTGGAAAACACATTAAATACAAGTCGAGTTATCTACCCGACAAACAGTTGGTCGACTTCTCTGAGTCGTATGCCTTTATTTTATACTCGTGCAGAGATGAACTTGCATATCTCAAAATGTGGCAAGTCCTTCTATCCACATAGCAAAAATCATACAGTTCCAACATGTATGAGAAGAGCCAAAACATTTCTAGATGATGAATACCTAAAAGACGTGTTAGCCAACAGCGACGAGAAACACTTTTATTGTAAATGTCTGTGCTATCACAGCTTTAAAAAGAATGAACCACCGCACAAGTTGAAGATTGCTTTGGACATTGTATCTGCAGAGGTCAAGAATGCCCAATGTTCCTGTGTTGCAGGAAAGATTGGTTTCTGTAATCATGTGTTGGCTTTAATGTTGAAAATATGCAAGTTTAGCCTTTATGATTGTAAAGATGTTTCTGAATTAAATAAAGACGATGACATGTTACCCACAGAAGCTTGCACGTCTAGTTTACAGAGGTGGCACAGAAAGGGTAGAGGAGATTCTATACAGCCGCAACCAGTTATGGAAGTTAATGTAAAGAAAACGAAGCTTGATTATAACACTTCGAATTCCTCTGGTAGTGAATCTCTACGTAAAAAATCAGGCGTCCAGTGTAACTTGTTCGAAGCTCGGGCAAACTTGAGGACCCAGAAAAAAGATGAATTAAATTTACAGCAAAATCTTGAACGATTACACCCTTCGACGGCTTTAGCACAAATCATGAATGATGCTGATCATGCTGGTGATCAAGATGACTATGTGGAAACATTGTATGGTAAGAGTCCGAGAGGGTCTTATGCAAGCTATCAACTTTCCTTAACAGAGTCTAATTTCAATGTTTTCTGTGACATAAATTCTGTCTCAAGAAAAACTCTACATGATAAGGAAAACATTGACACAACCTTATATCCAATCTTTCCAATTACTGATATACCTGATTTTAAATGCCCAAACAGTTGCAGTCAATCTGAAAAGAAGTTTATCGAACAATTATGTGTTACTGAGGGCAAGCTGAATGATATTGAAAAGAAAACAAGGGCTCAAGCCCAGTCTGCAGAATGGAAATGTGAAAGAAAGTACAGGTTAACTGCCTCAAACTTTGGACTTATCACTAAAAGGAAAAGAAATCATGATTCTCTTGCAAATAACTTGCTCAATCCAAAGCCCTTTAATTCAAAGTACACAGCCCATGGCAACAAGTATGAGTCAACTGCATTGCAACAATACCAGAAATATATGCATGCAATTGGAAAACCTGTAGTGTTATTCAAATCAGGGTTTGTTGTATGCAAAGATGCACCTTTCCTTGGAGCTTCTCCAGATGGGAAAGTTATTGATGCAGGATGCAGTGAACCCTATGGTCTTGTCAAGGTAAAATGCCCTGAGACAAAATACAGGGTAACTCCTTTAGATGCCTGTTCAGATCCAAAGTTTTGTTCACATGAAGTTGCTGGCCGATCGATTTCCGAATACCACAACTCAAGCATGACCATGATTACTATGCTCAGATACAAGGTCAACTAGGAGTGACACAAGCAAAGTGGTGTGATTTTGTTATATATACTGACAAGGGACTCAGCATCGAGAGAATTAAATATGATCACCAGTACTGGATAAATATGAGAAATATGTTGCAGTCATATTACTTTGATCATTTCATCAATTTGGCAACTACTGAATACAATGCACAATAGCTTATAGCTTTGCGATTGCTGGTCTTTTGTTTGACATAGTACGTAAAGGCACAGTAGTTCCTTTTGAGCAATGTGTTTTAGGAAGCATTTTTGTTGTCTACATTTAGTCAATTTTCAATTTGAACATTAACAATAAGTTAATTCAATTAAACCTTGTTGGCAGGTAACTAAAACAGATTGCTCAAAAGGTGCTACTGTGTCTTTAAGTACAGTGTATGTGCACTAATGTTATTTGTAATCCATGCAACACAAATAATTTTTAAATGTAGACCATTTATTTCATTTCATTTCAATAGCATTATTACATTCATAACTTTGATTCATTTGCATTTTAAATTTACAGTAATCATTTAATTATATTTACACTCAAAATATTTTATAAATTCATAAATTATTCTCAATAAATAATATATTTATAAATAATAATTATTAAATTCATAATAATATATAACAAATTGATTAATTTACCTGAATATTTCCACACAAATACAGTTCTCATAATTTCAGAAATTATATGCTGATAAGTTTGTCTTGTGCATTGCACAGAAATGCACATATGGACCACATTTGATTCACAAGTCCAAATGAGCTAAGGGGTACTACCCCACTCCAAATCTTGTAGTTTTTAATGCGATTTATAGCCCTTTCAACATGAATTCGCACACTAGCAATTTGCTGTGTGCGGATAACATCTTCAGCACCCATTTGGGAATTCTGACCAAGGAATGGTGGTATATTCAGAGTTGTCCCCAATGGTAGAAGATCTTGTATGGTGAATCCTTTATCAGCCATGACTGTATCACCATCAACAAAAGCTTGGTCAAGGAAACCACTTCGAATCACAATCTCCCGGTCAGATATAGACCCTGTGTATAGCTGGCTTATAAAAGTAATGGCTCCACTTGGTGCTATCCCTATCAATCCCTTAAGCGTTGTGTGGTTCTTATAAGAACTGAACAGTTCACCATTCAATAATAAACTGCCCGGCATCTCACATCTTATTTCGGTACAGTCTATTATGACACGAGTGTTTGGATATTTTTCTTTAAATACATCAGGCATAGTGTCTTGCACAAGTTGCTTCGATGGCCAGAGGTTAATTTGACCAAACTTTAAGTACATAAAGTTGATCCAGGCTGTCAAACTTCTGCTTACACTGGATGATGCGACACCAAACAAGTGTGATAAATGCTGTATTGAAAAACCTCTGCGTAACCTACACAACACCATAAAATATTCTTCAATTGGTTTAAGCTTCTTTGGCCTTCCCTTCTTTCTCTCACCATTTTCCTTCTCTGGTTCACTATCGTCGATGGCAACATAAAAATCATTTGGTTTTTCCCTCACATACCTTATATTTTCCCCATGTGTCCCAGGGTTAAGGTAATTAAAAAGTGCTATAAATATATCATAGTTGGGAAATCCTGTGTAGAAAGCAATATCTTGGTCGGACGTTAGACTGTTCAAATTCAACAATGGTTCAATAATTTCGCTCTGTTTCTTCAGAATTTCGATCTGTTTTTTCATGTGTCCACTGTTCTGAACGCTTTCTTCCTGAATTAAACAAATACTCTTTTTAAGATCACAGTTTTCTTGTTGAAGGTTAGAGATTGTTTCTTTTGCATCGCGAAGGCTATCTTCAGTGTGTTTAATAGTTCGTTC